GTATAACCTCAACGTTTATCATGGTAGCGGAGCATGGGTTCCAACGAGACCCCCCGGTCGCTGCCTTCGTGCATGTACTTCACCTCCACCGTGGGCGTGCGTTTCACACCGGTGACCTGTGCACCGGTGATATAGTTCACCTCCTTGCTGTGCCGCTCCACCATCTTCTTCCAGAGCGATTGATACCCGTTCTTCAACAGGGAGACCTGTGACGTCTGACGGAAGAACACACAAAGGGCGTGTATCCGATGCATCCTTTGATGGACATGGAGTTGGTCACTGCAGTAACACCGCATTGCTGCATCATTGCATATCATAAAATATCACATGATTGCGCTCCATACCACTCCATACAGAACTCTCGCCTAACAAGAATTGACATGTAATTGACCTTGTTCTCTGCCGGCGATGAACGCGAGGACCTCTTAAGACATCTCGATACAAGTAACTCTCCACCGGCTCCCTGGGCCCCCGGCCAAAGGCTCGTCAGAGCCCAGGAAACCACGGACGGTACCGTTGATGACATCGGGGTGGTGCCACCAAAGAAGATAGAAAGCTGGGATCTTATCCAACAAACCATAGCCTGATCTCGTGACGTGGCGGCCAGGGTGATGGTGTTCGCAGCTCTTCACCGCGTGAATCCAACACAAAAGTATTAGGAAGGCGAACTTCATTCCTCAAATGGTTGCATAGCATCAGGTATGTGAACATCTGTGAACACCCATTGTCCCATTGCAGTTGAAAGCCTTGGTGCCTTGGAAATAGACCAAGTTCTTGGTGCATGTGAACACCCATGGTTTCAGCGTGGTTGGTCAAGCCGCCTTGGGGAGGCCCCGACCGGGGAGGCACACGCGTTCGACCCTGTAAATCTGGACCTTCTTCCCGTGCTCGATCCACGTGGTCCACAACACCAATGCGTTCCCCACCTTCGGGATTCCTAAGAAGTTACTGATCAAACAGTCTATCGTTGCGGGATCCGGCGATCCATCGGGTACATGTGGCCTTGCACCTGTTGGGTGTAAAGGAAGACGGGCTCCAAGATCTCAAGCCCGTTCTTTTTCAGAAACCTCAATTTGGTTGCGCAGGTGGCCAGCATCGAAAACGGTGGGAAAGAACAGGACCAGAACCGGATCTGTACTGGTCATTGCTAGCAATTCGCATGTCGTGGAAACTGTGCGGTTGCACCATGTAGAGGTCAGAACTTACCAGCTCACGTGGAGCCAAGTTTGACCAATGATGAGGGACTGGGCATGGTTATGCGTGGTTTGAGTCTGAGCCATTCAATACTTCGGTCACTTCGGTCTGGAATGGCAAAGGCCATGAAGCTGTAAATGGACAAACTATGGTCGTGACTACATTGAGCTCTCAGAGCATCCCAACAAAATGCCCCTTGCCAACCAGATCTCCCAAAAAAGAAATGACCCTGACCCGGCCAATCCATTGGCCTGACCATGCCTGCCCATGGCTCACATGGCTCATGACTCCAAGCAGGAAACTCCATGGCTGTCATGTCAATCTTGCTCCAATCTTTGGGCTTTGGCGGCATACCATACGGAATCTTCCCGAAGATGCTGTCGTGCAACCTGAGACCGGCACAAGTCTGGTCTGCGCATGTCTGGCCCGGGTTTTCTGTGTGTTGCAAGCGAACGCCGAAGGTGAACAGGTACGGTAGCCCTCTGAAGTCTCACAGTTGTGAACATCCGGAACACCATTTTTGTAAGATGCGGATAGTTTGATCTGGATCACACATTCCATTGGAAATTGCGCCGTTGCTTCACGGTCTGCGTGTTGCTTCACGGCGCCCGGGGCGCCATAGATCTGTGGCTCCACCATGATCACGGGGGCGCACAGGGAGGATCACGGGAGTATGACTAGAAAGAACACACACATTGATGATATGTATCCATATGATCATGGATATATGATCTGGATCAAACGTGGCACACATATATGAGAGCACATATATACAAAATGAGGCACACATATATGAGACACATGAGAGCAAACGTGCGAGCACACGTGTGAGGGGCACACACATGAGAGCACTATGGCATATGAGAGAACAAATGTGAAAGGTGAACATCCTGTGCACTATTTTGGAAGATGTGGACAGCTTCATCTGTGTAAGACATTCAATTGGACTCGCACGGAGGGATTTCTTGTACGCTTAACGGCTTTCAGGTGTGGTTCCACCACCGTCAGAAAATGTCTGAAGACTTTGGACTCACCATGATCACGGATCATGGAGAGTTAGTTCGGAAGTCCAATAACCCTCGATCACATACCGTATGTTCCGATCAAAATGCAAGTTTCCCAAAATGTCCCTGCATCTCCTTGCATTTCTTGGACCAGCTGCTGATCATACTTGATCAGCGCAGAAAAGATGGGTACATTCTGGAGGCTGTCGGGCAAACAGCGGCAGCACTTCCACGTGGTTTTCATCTCGACCTGAAAGCGATTCCGGGATCCGTAGTTGGCAGACCCAAATGATGGATGATGGAAGGTTCAAAACTGGGACCGCGCTGGTAGAATGATGTTCCAGGTGCTTTTGCCGTTACGGGGCCCCGAGCTCAAGACAGAATCTCCCAGTCACTATGAAGAGAATGTGATGCTTCCTCGTCAGGAAGGGATTGGAAGCGAACTCTGCAAAACAAAAGTTCATAGATTTGAGGCCAAGCCACCTCCTCTAGGACCCAATCGAAATACTCCATCCCTTTGGTATACTTCCGCTTGTCTTCATCTGAAAGGTTCATTCCAAAGACCATCCGCCCCTTGTTCTCGTTGGCAAACGTGCTCTCCTCATTCGTCGGGTCATATTCCTTCAGAAGCTTGCGGATGAGCTCGTAACCTGCATACTCGGCTGAGGAAACGCCCCAAGGCCGGCTGAAGCCTGGAGTAGAACGACTACTGGATGTGAATGGGGCTTTAGCAGCCACAGGATATGAGGATATGGGGTTCACAGGATACTGGGCCAGGCCCCTCCAACAACATCATCTGCCCAGCTGCTGGATGAACCCCGGCCCGCCAATCAGTCCGATCAGTTCGGACGCCCCAAATCTGAAGCGGTCGAAACACCGGCCCTACGTATCGGAGCAGGTTGAAGAAGCTCAACGACACCTGTTGATGTTCATAGGTGGTGGATAGCTGTATGTTTAGGAACTCCTCAACCCACACCTAGCTCATCTGCTCCAAGTTGCTGGGAGACATGTAGCACGTGCCCAGCTCGTGTGGCACATCCGGCTGGGAGGGATCGATAACGGTGAGCGACTTGCCGCCCACCTGGGCAGAGATCGAAGTCCAGAAGTTCTGGGACACAAACAGTGGTTTGCAATTCAGTGTGGAGTTGTTCTTATTCCGGGAAGTTTGTTGAAAAATAATCCCGCTTCATTGTTGGGTTTGGTGCGCTTATATTGAACTAAGCTTAATATAAAAGTTCAAAGTGCAAGATTTAGCCGAAAAATGCATTGTTATACAAGTGTTTTTTGCAAACAATACAAACTCAGATCTATGAAATGGATTTCAAGATACCCAAAGGAAATGCAGCAAGCGGGGGCTGCGGGTGTCATAGTGTTGCAGTTCACATGGGCATGATGAGGCACAAATATGACCTCTATATGACAGCACACACACCAGAGCAAACAAGCCTACATGTGAGAACACAAATACGAGACAGCACACATATGAGCATGCCACGAAATCCACACTTCAAGGTTCACAAATTGCTGCACACAATATGAGTGTCCTACAAGATTGTGCGACAACGGCGTCCTATAAGTGTTGCAATAGAGTTGCACGAAAAAATGTCGCGCCCTACAAGAGCTTGTATTGCCGCGTTGTCCCACAAAGTGTCCTACAAGATTGTGCTACAAGAGTGCTTCTTAAGGGTGTGGCAATCAAAGTGTGTCAAGAAAAGTGTCGCAGGAATGTGTCCCACAAGTGTGTTCGACAAATCCACAAAGATTGCGCGACAAAAGTGTTCTAGTCTAGTGTGGCGTAAGAGTGTCAAGCAAAAGTATCGCGCACAGGCGTCCTACAACCAAATGATCCTGTCCGTGTGATTGAAGAGTGTTCTACAAGCAGCTGCAGTAAGAGTGTCAAAGAAGGTTTGGCTCAGAATGCGTTTGCGTACGTGTGTGTTTTCGTCGCTTTTGGTCTCGCATTGTTGGTTTCGATCTTGGTTGCTCCACATGTTGATTCATACTGATCTGGGCGGGTTGAGATTTGCAACTTAGTTCAAGCAAACAGTAGAGCCAAGTATTGTAAAGTACCCACCATGTTCAACAGGTCTCAGAATTCACACTGGCACCCGGACTCAAACGCCTAGGGCCTGAGAAGTATCACCACTTTGGAAAACGCCATCAATTAGTTCACAGATTCGTCCGCAGATGCTTTACGCTCAGCAAGCGCACGCAGGGGGTCACAAATTCATCCCTGTATTATATATGTACTGATTTAGACCACCAGTACTATCACCAGTGAGCGCCCAGCCATCCCCAAAACATCAATGACCATCCCATTCAAAATCAAAAGACCTGAATCATCATTGAGCGAAACGGTTAACGAAACAGTCCTGAACATTGCAGCCGCCCTGCCTCCGCCTCAGCCTCCAAGAGGGTGACCTGTTTGAAGCCCTTGGTCGCCAAACAGGCTGACATGTGAACACCAGCAGGTCCACCACCTACGATCACCACGCGCTTCTCCTTGCTGAGCTCCAAGCATGACCTTGGTCCGCTTTCTGAATTCTGGATCTACTGTAATCCTGCATGGGACCGTATTGAGGAACGAGACATGAACTTGAGAAAGGATCAACAAAAGCCAGTTGATAATTATATACCAGTATGCAGGTCCTAGTTATAAGGTGAGAGGGTGTAAGAGGCAAGGGGCAGTTGACAAAGTACAAATACGAAGAGGCTGTGTATGAACGTGTATGAACATACTGCGGCCAAAGTCTACAAGGACATAGCCCAAAGCGACCCGCAAGCATGCTTCCAAACAAGCAGCACTGTGGTACACCAGCAGACCCGCAGCACACCAGCAGCAACCAGCCAGCAGCAGACCAGCTGACACCATCAGGCTGCAGAAACAGCACACCAGCGCAGCAAACCAGCAGCACCCCAGTAGCAGCCCAGCAGCACACCAGCAGCAACCCAGCAGCAGGAACAGCGGCAGCAAACCAGCAAAGCATGAGCAAAAGATCAGCAGCGCCACCAGCAGCAACGAGCAATGCGGCTCTGATAGCCGAACATTGTTGATGCCAACAATTCCGCTGCTTTTGCAACTTGCATTTTCCGCATCACAAAGTCGACCGACATGGGCTCTACCAGAAAGTAAAAGCACCATTAAGTCTTCAGGTTTAGTCATCTCGCCATCTGCCCTAGCACACCAAATAGATTAAATAGCCCACTTCGTTCGCAGAAACTGACTTCAGCCATTCGCCTGTCGGAAAACTGGCTCTCGTAGACTGACTCGAATGAATGCCGACTGGTCATTCCTAGCTTCTGGCGTCGATCGCTTAATCCGCGACGGGTTCCCCCCTAAATCCCCGCCATTCCCAGCGACGGGAGCAGTTTGGTGTTGGGATTCGGAAAGTCTTCTGAGATGGAGGGGAAGAGCACCTCCAGCAGCCCCATGGCGTCAACCACGGAGAGGAATCACAGCACCGGGTCTGAGTCAAATGGCTACACAGGTCTCACTGTGCGAGGTGGATCATACAGTGTATACAGCCTCTTGACTTTCTTGATGAAAGTCAACTTCACAGCCTGGGTCCTAAACCAAGCGCGTTGCATAGTACAGTGTTTGTTTTCTTGGGGATGACGGACAAAATGCAAGTGAACTAGCCTGGGCTCTGGGCTCTGGTACATGTTCTGGCTGCTTGTCATGTGTCTCCAAGATAAAGTTTGTCAACGTGTCAACGGCTGGACTTGTCTCCAAATAAGGGAATCCCCCAACTACAATGGATGAATTATCAGCATCCCTTCTGAAAAGGAGACCGTCAAAGGATTTTGGAGAACTTGTCTGCCAGATTTGGGAGCTCTGAGCACTCCACATATGTTCAACCCGATGTGGGCTGCCCGTGTCCGTTTTTTCGGGGGCCTGCGCTCTGTTCATCACTTTCGTTGTGTTCGTTTTCAGTTGCTCACTCTGGCAGGTTCATGGGCTGAGGCCAGGGCCGTCGAAGTCCAATGCGGTCAGCGTAGTATGCGAAACGAAGCTGAGCTATAAGCCGGGCTCCTCTTTTGCAAGATGGTTTCGAGTGCCTTGATTGCCTTGAATTATATAAATGATGGCTTCCAAACAAGCTTGCAGGGGCGGCCCGCCATCAACAACCTAAAGTTTGCCATGGCCATCAAGAACTCAAGAGCTACTTGTCAAGTTGCCTGGATTGTTCGAGCCATTCGTGCACTGGCTCACAAAAGCAAAGTCCGAACATGACTGCTTGAGGATGAAAGGTAAGCACGTTACTCCACATTCTTCCGGCACTTCTTTCTGCTTCGCACTGATCTTTGAACATCATTGAACTATGCTCCTTTATCGACCCGCCTGAGCAAACCTTCATAAACCTTGTCGCGCCCCCATCCCTCCTCAACTTTACCCACATTTTTCCTCGTCCAAATCACGCTCTAAGGGGATGTTGTGGGCCTCACCTCCATTTGGAGGTTGGCAAAGGTAGATCTTTGATCTGTGTAGACATAGAGCTAAATAAATCATTCCATCATCTGGCCAAATTTGCTTCGTCTGCTCTTGAAAACTCCTTCGCCGATTCTGCTCCTCATGTGCATCATCCCTGATTATTTTAGAACATCTGTTTGTCAATTCTTTGTTCCGGGGATGCTCGTCGTCGACTTTCAAAGCCATCGGCCACGGCACCGCACTCAGGCACGTGGGGGGGTGGCTCCTGGACGCAGACGCACAGAGAGCGTGGCCTCAGTGGAGGGCGAGCAGGGCGAACAGGGCGAACAGGGCCGGCGGTGTTCTGCTCCTCGAACTTTTTGGATCGCAAAACACAGGATTTTGATGGATTTGGTACAAGCTCGCACCATGTTGCACAATGCTCTGGTCAAAGGGTAGCAGCCAGCAATTTGAGCAAAGAGTTGGGGATGTTGGCACCTTTCTGAATTCCGTGGAAAACCAAGTGAGGTCATCTATGTCATTAGCCCAATGCCAGCACGTAGGCATGCAGGTCTGGCTTGGCGGCAAGTACAAGGTTTAAATTTTTGATATGGTTTGAGGCTTGAGCTTCAAACTTCTGGCTGAGTAGCTTGGCAGAAGTCACCAAATCTGAGACCAAATCGCTTCAAGTCGAATCTCTTGCTTCCATAGTGAACGTGACCTCTGACCGTAAATTCAACAATTGCCCTCCCTATGCCCCCAAGAATCCTCACAGGCGCCACCATTTCATCCACTCCATCGGTTTCACTTGAAAGGAATCCTTCAGCTGAGTGGCGTTGTACACATCCACGATGCCGTACAAGGGATCAAGTCCTTAGTGACTGAGCGGCAGATCCCACACACACACACACACAAAACCCTACCGGCACCCGCATCCCGCTGAACCCTAGAACGCACAGTTCCGAGCCATGCTGATCCATAGCTAATCTCTCACACCACTTCTGAGGCCCCATAGTTCTGTGAACACACGATGAACCCCTGTTTTGACCCTTTGTTGCTCTGAGGTGGCAACCCAAACCCTGCAGCCTCAGCTCGTCTCCCAGGACACGAGCTACCTGGAAGCCCCAGGCGTGTGGCAGGTTGGAGGTTCATCTTCGGCTGTGGGGAGGCTCGTGACCTTCTTCTGGGTTGATTCTCAATCCAGAAAAACAAAACCCAGTCCTTAGTGATGTTGGGTCTTGATCCACGGGCACATCTTAGTAAGTGCACATATATATATATATATACATACATGCATAAACACATACCATATACGTTAAAAGCTAGATACAGATACACGTTTATGTTCTCACAACGGTTCGAATTCCAGCCGGATGTTCACTTGTTATTCTCCATTTCTTCGCATATAAGTCGTGCGGTTGACCTACGACTACCGCACCCATCGCGCGAGTCCCCCCCCCGAATCCTCCTGGCCATCGACGTTCACAGCCAAGTCATTCGTTGTGCCTTGGCCGTGGAATCGCAAACCTTGCCCTGAAAGCGCCGAAACCCAATCACCGCAGATAGATTGGAAGCATATATACACGTCAGGAGACTGCCTTTTTTAGCTTCCTGAAACCATTGAGGCCAGATCTGAAAACATCTGCTAGTCCGCTGCTGATTTCAGCGCGGATCCATCAAGGGAGGTTCACAGTGCCGCCAACCGCTTGCAACAATTGACAAGGCTTCTTTCGTTGGCGTTTGTTGATGGTGCGTCAAAAAATAGAACCCTAAGTCGCCCCCAGCGTCCCTGAGACAGTTCTCATTTCAGGATATCGCCATGTGGACCGATCACTGCTTCGCTCAATTGACTCAAGCATGCTCAAGCGCAAATCTTCTTGCAAAGCATCAAGTTGTAAGCCACAACATCCAGCGCACTCCTTGGTTCAGCCGTTTCTTCCGTCAAGAGCGTCTTGCATCAAAAGGTTTCCATCATTGATTAACCTGGACGGCCCCGAATTTGCTTTCTGATAATTAAAACAACGAGGCACTCGAAACACACTGACGAACCGATGAAGACAGTGTTTCTCTGGCCCTGCAAGTCCAAGATCTTCCATGGAAGGCCTGGGAAAGGCTTAACACGAGGCCGGTGAGGGGAGGTTGGCCAATGACCTCCTCCACCGGTGGCAAATTGAAACACAATGAACTACTCACCTACTAGTCTTATGCCATCAGGCCGTGGAAGTGCTTTTGTCGGGCGTGTGCTTTTCCAAATGGTCGCGGCAACTCATGGTGCTATGAGGTTAATAAGCTGGAATGGCTGGGCACCTGGATGGACAAAACCCCCACAAACCAAATCCCGTGCGGGGTGTCTATTTAACAACCGGTTCTGGGTCTATGTGAATACCAAATCCTATGCGTACATTCCCACGGTTCCTGTCCCGCACCTTCTCTAAGTAAAGCATTGCAAAACCCTACAGTATGTAAACCAAAAACCCTCCTCGCCTTCTCGCAGGCCTTTGGCATCAAAACGCGGGAAGTAGTCCCATGGTTTCTGGATCAAGACGTCCACCTTCCTCGTTCCACATCCGGGCGCGGCATTTCCCGGTTCCAGATTCCAGATTTGGGGGGGCGGGGCTGGCAGGTTTGGAAGGCTTGAAGGTGACAACGTTGGAGGCTGAAAAGCTAGCATTCCTTCAGTGGGCCTAAAGCTTTCAATAGGTTCAAGCCTGAAAGTGGGATCTGGTCTTTGCCGTCCATTGTTGGAGAATGAGTGACTTACGAATTAAACGGCCCAAAAGGTTAAAAACAGAGAGCTGCCTTACTTCGAGCGATCCCCACCCCAGGCGGCGATTCAAGAAGGGCACATGTATTGACAGACTACCCTGACAAACGTTCTGTAAAACATGCGCATTGACACAATTCTGACACCTGTTCTGCCAACCACTTCTGGTATGCATACTGACACATCTGTCATGTTTAAAGGCTGGGAAATGTTTTGGTCAGTGTTCTGACGTCCTCGTTGGCATGTGTTCTGGCATTTGTCCTGCCGTGTGAAGTCTGGCTGGTCCGACTTCGGTTCTGATGATATGTGTTCTGCCATGTACTGCGCGCATTTGCTCTGCCATCATGTGCTCTGAAAGAGTTGCTAGAGTTTCTGACATAAGACTTTGCGTTCAATCTGGCAAGTATACTGACATGAAACGCGCATATCTTCTGGCATCCTTGCTGGCATCCTTCCCACCCAGCGATCTCGTATATGTGTGGCATTCTTTCCATGGTTAGTTCTGACATCCTTTCCGGCATGCTCCCTGGAAAAAATTATGGCACTCTAACTGGTGAATCTTCTGGCATCTTTGCATATCTTCTGACATCCTTTCGGCCATATCTTCCGGCAACCTTTCCAGCAGCCTTCTGTGTTGCGCTTCTTTCTGGCACACCTTCTGACACCCATTCCGGCGCTCTACCTAGCATATCTTCTGACATCGTTTCTGGCTTCTGGCATTCTTTCTGCAATTCTACCTGCCATGTCTTCCGGAACTGGCGTATCTTTTGGCGAGCTCATGGGATCTGGTTTTTGCTGTCGTGCCCAGCCTGCCTGCAACAC